TTTGTGCATTGCTCATAATATAATTTTAAGTACATATAGTCATTTTATCTGCTACTCTCTGGGACATTAGTGGTGATTAAATCTGACAGGATAATCTGATAGCTTGAAGTGTGTTATCTATACATTTGTCTATCAATTAGAGCGAGTATCCTGCAATTTGTAGTAATTTCTGCTCGTACTACTCAGTACTCGTAGTTTTGTTTCCTACATGAAGTTCCCTTGATGTGGATGGAAATCATTTAATCAATATACTCAAATACAACTGCTTTGCATGTTGCAGATGGGTAACAAGGGTGCTTTTATACGGTTTGAGGCTCCCGATATGAAGCCAAACATTGTGACATTTTCAGCAGTGGTTAGTGGCTTTTATATTTGAAATGTCCTTTTTACTCCTCGATACTAACACTTTTAGAAATATATGAAATTTCCTCAAGTCTCTGTATTCCTTTCATGGGTTGGCTCAGTTTAAGCCAAGACTGGACTAATTTCATCGCTTTGCATTATATGCAGCCACATCCTGATGTCAAGCCGATGGCATATGCGAACAACTTCCTTAGAATGTTCTCTTAAACCTGAAACCTAACTTGCAGTATTACAATTGATGCAACCTTTTGTCTCACTGACCAAGTGCATAAACATCAGGAGGCAGAAAATTAGTAACGTACAGGCAATTATCTGCGGTGTCATTTTTTGGACAACTTCCTGACTTGCACGCCGCTGGTGAGGATCCTCACCTCGTTTGTTTTGTGTGGACAGAAAGACTTGGGTTAAGGTGTAAACACTTCAATAACAATGCTGTGTAAGATGTTTGGTGGATTGTCCCTTGTATTATTTATATTCCTCTGCGCAAGATTGTCGCAATTCTCATTTCTCTTAGAATGTCCAAACTGGGAGCTTTGATCAGTTGAAATTTTGGTCTTTCCTTTGTCTATTTTCTTGATTAAATAGGCGGTAATTTACCTGTCAGCTAAGTGTGACAACTCCTGTCTGATAATTGGATTGTCATTTGTCTCTGTGCCTGTGGCCAGATTACTGGTCAATGGTCACTGGCATTTCCTGGCTTTTGGTTCTTTAATAATAATATATAACGGCTTGTAACGAGCAAACACAATTTTTCTATCAATTTGTGAAGGTGCTGCGTTGTATATTGCCACGCGGAGCAAGTGTTGCTACAAAACATTCAACTCCCTTAGTGCCATTTAGGTTTCTCCATGGGGAAATAAGTTCATGCTATGTTCTGGCGAGGTCCGAGGCTTGTAAAGAAGCAATTAAGAGTTGAACAATTGAGCTGTTGTACATACTGAATCAGTCCTTCAATGAACTGGAATATTTTCTTGGTGATCTTTCCTTAAAAAAGTGTTAATAGATCACTGATAATTCAGTGCGTGCAATCTAGCACTTGTGCATGTGGCCAATGTCGAGGAATCATTTTTTCACCGTTTGCGGTACAACTTGATTTACAGGATGTTACAGTCTGCTGTTTGCTTGTAATTTTTAATGAAATCCAACTTTTCCAACAGGTATTCACTGTACATCTTTTGCCAAAATATCGTACAGGGACTGAGTAGGTAAATTTGGGAGAATTTAGTAGGTCTTTAATCCAACTACCAGTCAGTTTACTTCACCGAGATGTAAATGTAAAAATTTCTTCCTTTTGTGTCATGCTCTCTCTCTCTCTCTCTCTTTTATAAGTTAAAAAATTGATTCTTAGTTACCTACGGAAACTAGGAACTCGTGCATCTGTCTAGGTTCCTATTTAGGTGTAAAAGGAAATTGATTTGAAGGTTTTTATATCATAATATAATACTCCCTCCGGTCCAAAATAAGTGATTTTTTGGCCTTTTTCTTGTGGTCCAAAATAAGTGATTTTTCCAGATTTCAAGAATGAATTAATTATTTTTTTCCTACATTGTCCTTGGAGTAAATAATGTTGGAATATGTGTTAGGAGTGTTTATGTGAGATAGTAAAGGTTAATATGGTCAATTCCATTGCTAATTAATGTTAAAAGGTAGATTTCTTAATCTGTGTGAAAACATCCAAAAAATCATTTATTTTGGACTGGAGAGAGTACTGTTTTTTTTTTCTTCCCTTTATTCTATCATTTCAGAGTAGCAGCCATTGGAAATTGAGTCAAGCAATCTGTCAAACATGCGTAGTCATTAATAATTTCATTGAGCATCAAATTTTATGGAGGGAAAGCTGAAGGTTTTGGACCCAGCGTTAGGACAAGTAGTATTACATTTATCTCTTAATCTCAACTGTCTGTCTAGGATTGGAAAAGATGCTAACAGTAATCAAGAAAAAAGTGTCGAAACGAAAGAAGAAAAAGTTAAACTATAAGGAGGTTTAGGAATTGGCCCTCCTCTCTCCTCTCAATTTTGGCAAGGTTGCGGAATGAAGTTGCAATCTTGTGCGGCTCTTTCCCGAATCCCGCGCACAGCAAAAGTTTACTGAACCTGCTTGATCACGCCCAACTCTAGTCCTAAAAAGGATAAGTGGGTTGCTGCAAATATAATCCGGTCTAAAAGTGCGGAGTCGAATCCCACAGAGAACTAAGGCTTAGCTGTATCTGTTTAATATCACCAAGAAGACAAGATTGAAAATAAATAAACAGCTGAAAACTAACTATGCTTGAATTGTAAACAATTGGAATAAAGGTCTAAGGCAATGGTTTCCCCCGTTGTTGATTTCCTTGGTTGTATGTTTCTTATAGCGTTGACTTAGTTGCCTCTATCAATCATGAACTCTCCAGCTATCATAAATCTCTCTCAAGCAATTATGATAATTTACTAGACGCACTCTCTCAAGCTACGCTAGCTAGATTCGCATTATAGTTCACTTAGATCGCACCCGAGGTATCGTTATCTCTAATCCAACCTCTAAACCCTCGGTTATGACTCTCGCCTATACTCCGGGAGTGATGTTGTTCAAACAACTACCTAAATATGCACTCTCTCTCAAGCAGATACATAATAAATAGGAACGGCTAATTAAGGATCCTTTCAATTAACCACAATCAAAACATAGTTGAACAAATAGAGATTAAACTAATTCAAATCTATATTACTTATAACAACCAATTCATCCCCAACGGGTTTCACCAAAACCTTAGATTAGAAAAGTTAGCTACTCATGAAAATAACAAAAATCACAAACGAATTCATATTCAAAGGTAAAAGAACAAAGAAGAAGATTAAAGATTGATGTCCAATGATCCTCCTAGCCTCTTGCCCCCAAGGGTGTTGTCTAACCCTAAAGTAGTGTCTCTCTCTCTTCAAAATAGGTTTAGGACCCCTTTTATACAAGTTGGAATAGTGTAGGGCCGAAATTACCTTGTCCCGGACGAAATAGGACTTCTTTTTGACGCCTGGAGCGGCGCGGCCGCGGCCAAAACGCGGTAGGACCGAGGCCAGACAAGCTCTCTGATTTTCTGCCGCGGTCAGTTCCGTGGTCGCGGTTTCGACCGCATTTTTCACCCTGTTCCTTTTGGAATTTAGAAAAACGTAAAACATGAAAGTTGTAACCCTTTGAGTTAGCTTTCCAACCATATATTGTGGAGTCCAAATGGAGTTCTGAGAAAAAAGTTATGTCTATTTTACTAGACAGTGCGCAACATGCCTCCTCGAGTCTTCGTTCGTACTTAATTATCAAATTTGACCCCCGAATACGATCCCGGCTTAATTCCTTGGGCTTTTACTCAGACTTCAAAGTAGGGGTGTGCATTCGAATCGTTTTATCGATAAATCGAATCGATTATTTGTTATCGAAATCGAAATCGAAAAAATCGAAACCTTATTGAAACGATAACGATAAGCATATGTACAAATCGATAATCGATAAGTAATTATCGATAAGGGTCAAAATCGAATCGATAAATCGAATGCAAACTCCTAGACTGTAGACACTTGTTAAATGAGTAATTACCTATTTGTGTAGATTAATATAACATACAGAATGTATATATACTACGCTACTATTTTGAAAGCGGCTATACAATATTATTTTTCCTAATCTATACCCTTTCCTTTACCCTAAGTCCCTTACCCTATTATTTCCTCTACCACATTTAAGGAATGATCATATTTAAAGATCAAGGGAATGAAGTTCAAATTAATAGAAAACAGAATTAGCAGTGATGATGCGTTTTGTTTTTTTTTATACCGTTGGAGTGTTGGTGGCATACATTTGATCCCTTACTTTAGTTTTATTGCATGTGCTTGTTGACACAATTTTTATATTATAAATGGCGTTCGTCTTATTTTAGCTTCTTTTTGTCCATATTAGTTAGGCGCGTTTATAGCGATATACTTTCCGTGGAATCCCGTAAATTTTCTTATTGGTGTAATCGATAACCGAATCGATAAGCCCCCAAAATCGATAAATCGAAATCGAAAAAATCGAAACCTTATTGAAACGATAACGATAAGCATATGTACAAATCGATAATCGATAAGTAATTATTGATAAGGGTCAAAATCGAATCGATAAATCGAATGCACACCCTTACTTCAAAGCTCCAAATCACTTGAATTCATTCCATAACATCTATATAGCTCGAAATCACTCCTACAAGGCATAAAACACACCGTTAGTGCAAAACAATAGCGATTAAAGCGCAAACTCAACTAAAGTGCAGTAAATTAGAGTGTAATAAGCGACTAGAATATGTAATTATAGCCTATCATCACTGCTTTTTTGCATAATGAAGTTGCAAAGCCATTAGTAAAAAATTAAGCTACCTAAAATTGTGTAATTTCCTACATTTTGATATGTTTTCTATGTGGTCCAATTTAAACAAACCTAGTAAAATGAAAACGTATTCTCTGTTATTGTCCATCCACTCTCTCTATCTTTGTCTCCCCTCACTAGGTTTTTCAGAGTTTTCTGACCCTACCTAGGATTCAATTTCTCACTGAGTATTATGTCCCCCACCCATCATTCAATCACATTGCACTCAGTTCACAACCCCACCAAATTCTCCACCCTATCCCCTGGCCAAAGAAACCAAACCCCAAAACCCCATACATACAGAGTCTTTTTCAAAATGATTCTGTTCTTAATAAACCAGATATAACTCCTACAACTGATCAGATTTTCACAGACCTCAACACAATGTACTGTTCATTTTCATTTTCTTTTCCTCTGCTTCTACTGCTCATCATGTCCATCTTATTTCTTTCTACTCCTTCTGCCTCCACCAATCAACAGTCAACAAACATGGATCCTCATGAGCTAGAAACTCTTTTCAAGATTATGGAAACTGTTTCCTCTGATCAAAACTGGAGAATTTTACATCCATATCCTTGTAAACCAGGTTCATCTTGGCTTGGTATTGAGTGCAAAAATGGTGTTGATAATAAATCCCATGTTACTAGGCTTGATTTTGGCACACGTCCTAACCCAACATGCAAGCCTACAGCCACATTCCCTAATCTTATTTTCCAACTCCCAAATCTAGAATCTGTTTTCTTCATACAGTGCTTCACACACAGTAGGACAAGAATATCTGTTTCAAGAAACAGACTTCTCAGCACTTCACTTCAGCAGCTGAGTCTAAGATCAAACCCTTCACTCATTGGCTCTATCCCTTCTCAACTCTCTTCACTAAAGTCACTTCAAGTTCTCACACTGTCACAGAACAGTTTAATTGGACAAATTCCAGTACAAATCTTCAGTATGAGCTTTCTTGTACATCTTGATTTGACCTATAACAAGCTTACAGGCAACGTTCCAGACCAAATTGGCAATCTCCAAAATCTTGTAGGCCTTGATTTAAGTTATAATAAGTTCATAGGGCCAATCCCTGACACAATTGGCCAACTTGGTATGCTCCAAAAACTGGACTTAAGCTCCAATGCAATTACTGGAAGTATTCCAGAGAGCATTGAGAACTTGCCTTCCTTGAGTTTCATGGCTTTAAGTAACAACAAATTAAGTGGGAAGTTTCCTAAAGGATTATCAAAGCTTCAGAGTTTGCAATATTTTCTTATGGATGACAATCCAATGTTCATACCATTACCAGTAGAATTTGGTCAGTTGAAGAAACTTCAAGAATTAAGACTTGCTGGCTCTGGTTATTCAGGCACAATACCATCTAGTTATTCACAGCTCTTGAATTTAACCACCTTGTCATTACAGAATAACAAATTGAGGGGGGAAATCCCAGTTGGATTTTCCAGTCTCTCACATATATATCACTTGAATTTGAGCAGGAATTTTCTGGGAGGTGTGGTTCCTTTTAATTCTAGTTTCTTGAAAAGGTTAGGCAGGAATTTGGACCTTAGTGGTAATCCTGGGTTATGTTTGAGTCCATCTGAAGCAGATGCAGTTTTCATTGGTGTTGGAGTCTGTGGGAGAAACAACACAAATAATTCCATAACCATGCCATTTAAGAAATCTGAAGCTCCATCTGGACATAACATATCATTCTTTCTTGTGGCTGCTTTAGGTATTGTTGCATTTCATTATCTATTTTCACTAGTGTAGGCTTGTTGTATAATTTTTTATTCTTTCAAGTAAAAGTTGCCACCCAAAATTTCTTATCATGATTGGTCCTTATAATATGTGTGATGATTGATGATCATTGCCATTAAAACACCAATCCAGCAGTCAATGAAGTGGGTGAAAATCATGAGAGATTAAGGTTCAAATTCTAGCAGAGACGAAATGCGCTAGGTGGTTTCTTTTCATCTATCTAAGCTCCGGCGGGCAGATTACAAAATTACCTAGTACTGGTAGTGACAAGATTAGCATATATTACGTGAAATAATTGAGGTAAGCGCAAGCTGACTCATATACTATTATTATAGCAGAAGATGATCACTACCAATGCTTGATTCCAAGTTTTGATTTTATACAAGATAAAACTAGCATGTTGCAATTGGTTATTAATCAGCATTGTTGATTGAAGGTATATATAGTTTAAGGCACTAAGCAATAAGGAATATAATTTGTTTGGGCTCTTCTATTATCCCAGTTCTGGCTTGTAAAATGTGGTGACCTATAGCTAGGTGTGAGGAGTACAATATTGCACAGACAAAGTGAGTCATGTATAGGTAGTAGCTCTGTTAAGATGTGATGTGTAATTGCCCCCACTTGTCCTTCTAATTGCTTTATATCTGACCCTGAAAACAATTTAGGGTCAGATATATTTCAAATTGACAAAACTGGTTTGATCTTTTTTGTTATAAAAACTTTACTCAAATCAAAACTAGTATTTCTGAAAAGAACATAATACCTACCTTTTCTTTTTCTGTATATAGAGAACAAGAAAGAGCAATATATAGTCCATTCTTTTTCCTATTGGAGTGAGTGTAATGTTCACTCTATCACTTGTACGTATACAAGCTAGTGTACAACAATACTATAGTCATGTTATAGCTTTCCCAAGCCTTGGAACAGTTTTACTATATCGTTGGAAAAGGATACTTTAATTCTTGATAGGTTAAATACAGCAAAAAACTGGAGGGAGCGAAATACAGGTCGCAAAGCTTTTGTGGGAAATCTCATTTACTTTGTTGGCAAAAGAATACCTATTGGCTGCTATAAATACAAAGCACTAACTATTACTCACCATTTGGTCCTCACATAGACACATTATTATTATAGGAAGAAAACTCACACCCTCACGTGGGAAAACCAATCCTTGAACAATGCATTTAAACCATTGGAGCGAAGAAATATGGAGTCACAACGACTTTGTGACGACAAATTTTTATACTTAGATTGTGAATTTAAACTTATAAAGGTTTTAACCTCGTGAGAATTTCTGAGATTTGAAACTCCAACAAATTTTTAAACTCCAGTATGGTGGAGTTGTATCGTGTTTTATTTTGGAGTATTGTTACAAATAGCCGCCCATATTTAGTAGAAATGGCGTGGGGTAGCCACTGTTTAAGCTGGTATTTACTTTTTATCCAGTATTTTTAATGCTTAGCAATAGTAGCCACTAGTCTATTAAAATTAATATGAAAAGACTGTACCCTTTCTTCTATCTCTTTTCTCTCTGATCCTACGTATACAAATATTGGAGGATAGACTGCTTGTTGTTCTTCCTCTTTTGGTACCATTGATGAGGAATGGAAAACTTGTTTGCTATCAAAGTTGTTTGTAGGGTTTGCACTAGTTGCTAGTATCTTCTTCTTCAATTTAGTATTCCAGTGATTTTTCACATCATTATCTGTTCTTCCTGGTAGCTTAGATGCTATAACAAACCATCTGCAAATTCAAAAAATAAAAATAAAAATACTTGGGGTCACTCTTAAATACTCAAAATGTTATTAAAATGGGAAAGTTAAAGGAAAAAAATCAGGTTTTAAAAGAGCAAGAATTAGCCTGCTTCCAAGTTGAGTGTAGAGAGAGTAGATAATGTTGTCTTCCTCTTGTGTAAAATTTCCAAGTTTAATATCCGGTCTCAAATAATTCAACCATCTTAACCAGCAACTCTTACCACAACGCTTTAGGCCTGTGTTAGTTAATTTGCACACAGATAAGTTAGTCTTTAGTGTTGAACAAAGGCTATATACATAATATATAATATAGTGTGTAAATTCAAAAGTTAAGGACATGGTCCTGAACCTAGAGTTTCAAGTTCAAAAGTTAAGGAAATGTAGTCTTGAAGTCCTAAAGTTAAGTTCAATAGTTAAGGACACAAGTTCAAAAGTTAAGGACATGCAGTCCTTAACTTACAGTTACAAGTTCTAAAGTTAAGGACAAGCAGTCCTTAACTTACAGTTACAAGTTCAAAAGTTAAGGACAGACAGTCCTTAACTTACAGTTACAAGTTCAAAAGTTAAGGACAATAGGTCCTTAACTTTGATTTCCAAGTTCAAAAGTTAAGGACATGCAGTCCTTAACTTACAGTTACACGTTCAAAAGTTAAGGACATGCGCATGTCCTTAACTTACAGTTACAAGTTCAAAAGTTAAGGACAATAGGTCCTTAACTTTGACTTACAAGTTCAAAAGTTAAGGACGCTTGGTCTTGAAGTTTGAGTTCCAAGTTCAAAAGTTAAGGACATGTAGCCTTAAAGTCCTGAACTTAGAGTTCCAAGTTCAAAAGTTAAGGACATGTAGTCCTGAAGTTAAGTACAAAAGTTAATGATATGAGCAAAAGGGTATTTTCGTCCGGGCAGTTAAAGTTTATTAAAGCAGTGGCTAAAGACTAAAGACATTTTAAACGATGGATTAAAAGTAAATACATGTGTTATTAGTGGCCAACCGTGCACTTCCCCCCATATTTATTGTTTATTTTTTTTTTAGCTATATACACAGTTTATACATTGCTTATACACAATTATACATATTTAATATATAAATTATGCATATATTATACCTCCGTAGGCTATTTTAGTTTAAGCGGTTGGGTGGACGGCTATTTGGGTTAATTCTTCAACCTTTTTCTCGTCAAAAGAATGGCTAAATGTGTAATAGTTTTTGAAATAGTGGCTAAAGCTTGATAAGCGGCCCAAAAGTGACTATTTATTAATGGGATTTTTACCTAGCTATACTATAATAGAAACCTATTTACTATTTATTTAGGTTCCTTATTAATCACTTTATATACCTATATTTACTAGTTTTATACAAAACCAAAAAAAGGAGAAAATGAAAAATACCTTAAATATTGGGTATCCGTTACACATAATCCCCTACATTTAAGATACTCTTCCTTTTTTCAAGGAAAACTATATCTGTCTTTGTACTTACCCAAGATCATCACCTCTCTTTGTACTTGACCAAAATCATCACCATAAGAAATCCACTGAACTCCAAAATCATCACCTCTCTTTGTACCTACCCACAGTAAGAAACCCATTGATACTCATGATCTTTCTAACCCAAAAATCTCGCTTGCTCACTCCTCTTCCACTGTTATCCTCCCAAAATTGCAGATTCTTTCCTCTTCCAAAGCTGTTGATATACGATTTCTCTCTTTAGTCATCCAAAATCTCTTTCTTATTTATACAATATAGAAGAAATTCGAAGATTTGCTCTACAATCAAGTTATGGGTAAGCTTCACTCTACATTAAAGTTGGTTTTAGGTTAAATTTCATAATGAAACTCGAGGAAGATGAAGTTTCGGAATTGTATTACGATTGTATGATAAAGGTATCATAATTGTATTGAGTTGTATTTGATACATCAATACCTAAGACAATTCTGATACAATACTAATATTATTAAAATACAATATCGAATTATAGTTTAAGTTTAGAGTTGGTTCTAGGTGGATGTTTTAAATTGAAACTGGAAAAAGATGAAGATCAAAGTTGTATCATAATTTAGAATTGTATCACAATTTGTACCTAAAACAATACACGATACAATACTAATACAAGTATAATACGATATTGTATCAGTTTAAGTTTAGAGTCGGTTTTAAGTTGTATCATAATTGTATCAGAATTGTGTAAGAATTCTTTCAGGATTGTATCAAATTTGTATTGGAATTTATGAGCAGTTGTGAGATCGTGACGAATTTCACAGTTGGTATCACAAATATATGATAATTATATATTAATTTATTAGTATTGTATTAGGTATTATTTTTGTATAGTAATGTACCATCTACAAGTTATATACAATTGTGATACGAGTATGATACAATTACATTTTACGTATTGATGTATCTGATACAATTTAAATATAATTATGATACATTTATCGTACAATTCCTGAATATTTCTTCATTTTGAGTGTTGTCCGGTCTCCTAGCAAAAGAACGATGCAATTGATGATTTAATTAACCCTTCTGATGTTAACTTGATGGAGATGGCTGCATATCCATGGCAACCTATACTACACCATGTCGCCCTAGAGAGAGAGGAGAGAGGAGAGAGCGTGGGGTTTTGACTAATTGTAGGTAATGTGGGTGAGAGGAATTTTGAGATTGAGCATCGTGTTTTCAGGGAATGGGGGAAGAGAATGGAATGTATCAAAGTAGAGAAAGAAAGAAAATAGTGTAACTGAATAGCGTATTTAGTGGCTTAGGGGTAGGAGGTAACCAAAATTAGATATTTTGCTATAAACATTAAAAGGTATCTATAGAATATAATTTTTTAAAATGGTATTTATTTAAAATAAATAAGGTGTTAACCTTTGCTATAGGAGGTAAAAATTCCTAAATTATATGAAGATAATATTATCAGAGTGTACATCATACCTCCTTATGAGTAAATAAGAATTCTCCTCGAAGACTATTCCTTCAATACTGTTTTCTAGTCTGAGAGGTAACCAAATTGCAAAAAACAAAAAACGTGTTTATCTCCAATTGAAACAAGTTAGAATTACATTATATAACCCACGTGTTATATGTTCCTCGACAACGTGTTATAGTCAAGCAATAACTCTTAGTACTGTAATTCAACGATGGGTATTGAGGAGTCGAGAGTTGGCCAAATTCAGTTTATTTTATGGTCATCAAAAACACACGAGGTGTATGTCTCCCGAAGACAAAAGTCTCTCTCACATCTGCTTCATGGTGTTAAACGACGAGATCCATTTTAAGACATTGCATTTGAATATTAAGTTTTTTTTTGTCT